CTATTATATAGTAATCATCAAGGCTGCACACCAACCAACTAATACGATACGACGATCGAATCAAAAAGAGAAGAAAACCAATAGTACGCTCCTCCTACATCTACATGGGCATGGCGTCGTCGGTTCTGCAGTGCTTCGGCCTCACGCGGAAGATCCTCCAGGACCTCCACATCGAGGCGGCCAGCCTTCCTGACCCGGACAACTGCGCCCGCTGCAGCGCCGTCGTGCGCCGCCACCATGGCCCCCGGATTGCCCTCTCGGGCTGCTTCGTCATCGACCCCTACAGCGGCCACGCCCGCCTCCTCCCCGACAACTCCAAGACCGTCGGATCCACCAACGACTGGCTCGCCCTTGGCCTTGGCCAGAAGTACTGCACCACCAACAAAGATGGCGACAACCAGGAGGAGGGGCAGTCGGAACACCACGTAGTGCACAACTATGTCTTGCACAATCCTTTCTCAAACAGGTCATTGCCACTGACTGAGCTCGATGCTGTCGTCGTGGAGGATAGGTCTCTCATCCGCAAGTTCCTCATGCGCTCCACGGTCGACGACTTTATCGCCGTCATCACCAACAACAGGAAGCATCCGATCATTGTGTTCCAGCGAGGGAAAGGCGTGTGGTCGCCGGAGCCATGGGAAACTCCATATATCTACATTATCGATATCGCTTTTCTTGAAGATAAACTATATGGCATAACCATGGCTGAGGACCTCATCCCCCTTGACCTCACATTGGACGGAGACGGAAGGCCAAGGGCTACAATGGGAACACGTGTCATCAAGCAATCGCACGGCCATGATTATGATGATACCACTTTTGACAAGGAGGGCGACGATGATGACGATGACCAAAATCAAGACGAGGAAGACGAAGAAGACGACAACGGTGCAGAGGACGATGATGAAGAAGAAGACAATGACTTGACCCATATCAATTGCTCTCTTGAATTTGATCAAGATGGTGAACCTGATGATATCCCCATAATTAGCCGGCACCTCATCGAGTCACGTGGGAAGCTACTCCTGGTAAGACATCATCGGTACTGCCATCCAGACCTCGATGCAGGACCTACATGGCTCACTGTCCAAGTGGATGTATTTGAAGCAGACTTTAACACACACGCTTGGGTGCCACTGACGGAAGGGCTAGGTGGTGGTCGAGCACTCTTCCTTAGCATGAAGTTCTCTAAGTCTGTCCCAGCACCTTGTGGAGAGGTGGAGGAAGATGCAATTTATTTTATGGACACGGGCAATGTGTTCAACATGAAGTCCGGTACTTCTAACCCTTCAAAGTTTTGTGAGTATCCTGGAACAACATGGCTCTTCCCTTCTGAGTTGATACTTTGATATGCAAAAAGGTTATGACACAAAGTTGGGACCTAAGATTAGATATTGGAAACAATATGTCATCATGAATTTCCTCTCATAATGTATTATGAAAAAGATTGTTTTTAGGTATACGTAATCTTTATTATTGTTTGTCAGATTATAATCCTCTTTCTTCTCTTATCTCGTTGCTCATCTCGGCAATATAATTTTGCATATGAAAGTATAGATGTGTGGAGCAGCACGCAAACCGTCATGCGGTAGCAGCAATCCAAAGGAATTGTTGGTGGTACGTAGATTACTTTTGCCTTGAGGATAGGCCACTGACTTCCGACGGTGGTTTAATTGGTTGACAATGTCACACCTGATCGGAGCTCACTAAATAAATCCAACTTTTCTTTGTCGTAGCAGCTCAGTTGGCGTCACACCCATACACAACAATAGGCCATTTGATCGACAGATGATGCCGGTTTGTCATCATTGAAACACTATGCTGTTATATTACCAGATGAGATGCTTGTTTTCCCATTGATATATCATATAAGTATACATCATATTCATCGCGCCCTCCTTATAAATAAAATCTGGTACTTCTAGCCTGTCAAAGTTTTGTGAGTATTCTGGAACAACGTTACTCTTCCCTCCAGAGTTGGTGCTTTGATATGCAAAAAGGTTATGACACAATGTTGGAACCTAAGACTAGATGTCCCAAACAATATGTTATCATGTATTTCCTCTCATAATGTATCATGACGAAAAAAGATTGTTTTTAGGTATACGTAATCTTTATTATTTTTGTCAGATGATAACATCTCTCTTCTCTTATCTCTGGTTGCTCAGCTTGGCAATAAAAATCCTTATCAGTGAAGACGACACGGCCGGATATAATTTTGCATATGTAAGAGTAACTCTAGCAGATGCCACGAAAACTCATCCCGTAAAAAACATTACAGTCCCCCTAAACCGGAATTACAGTACCGTGGCGCATTGGACAGAAGAGATCCCACAAAAATAGTCAGCGGTCAGATGTGGAGCCCACTAGCTAGTCGCTAGTTAAATTTACAACAAGGTCTCTGTAAAATAGCATAAATCCCTCGACGAGGCGGGGCGGGGCGGATGCAAGGACTGATACAACAGTAGCCAGTAGCTACAGATTTTGAAAGAACACCTCAAGATTTCTCCTTTCTCGACATCATTATCTCGGTTTAATTTGCTGGGCGATTTGGATTACCAGCTGAAAGGGCTACTACATCTTCAACGGCATTGACCCAAGCATGTATGCCCTGCAGCGCAAGTCAAGGAAGATTTCTCCTTTCTCGACATCATTAGCTGAACGAAGAGCTTACTCAGACAGACTCGGGTACAGATCGGATAAGGGCTTACTCCAATCCAATACAGTATAAGACTCGGGTACAGATCCGATATAGATAGAAGAAAAGGGTTCCGTTGACCAGCAGAAAAGGAAAGGAAACACCAAATAGAACTCCTGCTCGCACATAAAACCGATCGCACCGTGAATACACGGTCCACTTCGAACCATCACGATGGACGCCGGCGACGAATTCTGCTTTCCCTATGATGTGCTCCTCGATATCCTCCGCCGCCTCTGTCCACGCTCAATCGCAAGGTGCCGCCGCGTCTGCCGGGCGTGGCGTGCCACCGTCGACGACGCCCACGACCTGCTCCTGGACCCGCCACACTTCCCCCGGTGCGCCTTCCACGGCTTCTTC